CTACTACTACTACTACTACTACTACTACTAATGCTAACATTAACAATAATAACAATAAAATAATAATGATAACGATAACAGTACTATTAATGATGATAATGATGATGATGATGATGATGATGATGATGATGATGATGATGATGATGATGATGATGATGATGATGATGATGATGATGATGATGATATATTTCTACAAAGGATTAAACTCTTTTCTCTGACTTTTTAAATTCACGAATCGTTATGTTATCGGCAACATTTAATGAAAAAAAAAAAAGAACAAAAGGCAACAGCTTCGATTTACGACAAAGGAAGATGTCCTGTGCATACCAAAAATAACATTACCTAGTATCCCCATCAATATGCTGAAAGAAAATGTCCTGTGGAGGAAGTCTGAGCCCCCTACTTTGTCTATCTAGGTTCTGGTGGGTACGCTGTTTACGGCTATCGAGGTACGGCGAATCTGACGTCATCAGTCCCATTCGATGGCGACTCGTTGTACTGCATCAGCTTCTGGGTGAACATGTATGGATCCAAGGTTGGAACGCTCTCCCTGCTGATAGACGGGGTATGTATCCTTCTAGATTTTTAAAAACACAGTTTAAGTAAGCGTTTACGGCATTTGCAACAGAAAAATAGGTCATGTAAGTGTCCAAGATTAGAAATGTTACTAGAGAGTAACAGAAAAAAGCATGTAAGTGTCAAAGGTTAGAGGAGTTACAAGATAGTAACATACAAAGAAAAGAAAACAAAATGAACCCCCCCCAAAACCAAACACACGCACACAAAGCAAATAAAACTACAATTTACATTTTCTAAGATTTCAACCTGTCTTTTCTTTCTTTTTTCACACTTTTCCCTCCTAAACTTCTTCTATATTCGTGATTTTTACATACATTTTATCAATTTCATATTTCATACCCTGACCCTTTTTCTTCTTCCCCATCTCTGTACTGGACGCTTACACCACAGACCTCAGAACCACTAGTAGTCAAGAGTGGCGACCACGGCGACGCCTGGAATCAAGTCACTTTGGAACTCCCTCTACGACAGGACAAATTCAATCTCACATTTTCTGCCAAGTCTAATTCCAGCGACTCTAGTGACATCGCCTTGGATGATATAACTGTCGTCATTGGAAGCTGTGCTCCACAAAGTAAATGTTTTATACAATTACTCCCCCCCCCTTTCTACTGCTGCTGCTCCTCCTTAGTCTTCATTCTCCTCCTCCTCCTCCTCCTCCTCCTCCCCTTGACACCTCGCCGTCTCAACCTCCACAATTTCCATACATCGCTTCCCTCTTTCTACGGATATGGAAATGTAACAGCCCCCCTCCCTCGCTCACAGACATAGTCCGTGCCTCCCCCCCTCCAACTCCCCGGGTAAGTGAAGGACTTTTTCACCGGAGTCGATGGGTGATACCAATGCCCCCATCCCCCTTCCTCCCCTCCCTTCCTCCCTCTTCCTCCTCCCTTCCTCCCTCCCTCCTTCGCGCCGATAAGTGATGGACTCTATAAAGACAGTCGTCAGGTGATAACAATGCCCCCACCCCCATTTCCTCTCTCACTCCCACCCTCTCCACAGCCCCTCCCTTCCTCCCTCTCCCTCACGTCGGGTAAGTGGTGGACTTTCCAGGAAGGACAGTCGTTAGTTGGGCTCACTAGAGGTGGGCAAAATCCGGATAATCTATATATGGATAGCCGGATAATTCTCAATGAAACACTATCCGAATTCAGACTCTTAACTCTCTTTCCTGACCCGTTCGCCGAAGTGAGTGCACCCGTTTGTCGAAGTGGCTCTAACCCATTTGCCGAAGCCGTTCATATCATATTATTTGCCGAAGAGGTGCACTAACACTATTATCCGGATTTTTACTAAAGCGACTCATTGCCCAGCCCTACCGTCGTCTGCACATCAACCTAGATTCCAGCTTCCGGACAACTCTTAACCACTTCCTCCCTCAAATTTGTCCCTCATTATGTCGTGGGAATTGTGTGGTGGATGGTGGATGGTGGATGGGGAGTGCAGGAGTGTCCCAAGATTTGGTGAGAGAGGGGGGTGTAGTGAGCTTTGGTGGGTGGGGGGAGGC